TCCAATTTGCTACTGCTTTATTTCTGTCAATGAACTCTGATCTGAGGATTTTTTGTGACCTGTTTTGCTCTGAATACAACTAGGAAAATTCCAGAAAAACTGTTCACCAGTAAGTTGTGATTTGAGCTTGTGCGTGCTTAGCAAGACCTTCATGCCATAGACGACAAGATGCCTTCTCTCTCTGACTGAAAGCTTCCAAATTAACATTTTTAGTGAGAAAAATGAATATGTGTAGCTCTTTTGCAAGACCATGCTGATTCTAAATTTTCGTTATAAACCTTTTGAATGATTCAGAATTATGTTAATAATTTTCTGATCTGATGTTTATTGCCATCGTGTGTTTAAATGTTTGGTCTTTGCTATATTATTTGATATAATTTTCCAGTTTTGTCAAAATTAAGCTTTTACCAATTTTGTCCATTCTCAACATCACCACCTACATATATCCCAAAACTAAGCTCTTCCTTCCCTTTTTCTGCTTTATTCCAATGTTGAGTCATATCTGATTTTTAATTGTTTGAATTTCTGGTGAGAGGAAAATATCATTAACTGACAGTAATTGTTATTTTCCATTATAACTGCTTGCATGTCAGTCATGTGTGATCCCTTGAGAATCTATGCAGCGTGTTACGGAATGCAAAAGATGTAGTCTCTGCTAACATAAATCCTGCTTAAGAGGGTTTTATGCACCAAAGTCCTGACACAGCTCCCAAACAGCACTTCAGTTTGTCTAATTGCCTAGCTTGGGAAGGTGGTTTCCAATGAAACCGTATCATGGTGCGAGACAGAATACTCTCCTGGCTGGGAATACAAGTTAGGGAGCATTAGGCATGAACAGCTATGGATTCATGGTACTTGCTCTTGACATGTTTTTTCTGAAGGACCAGTTCTTATCCTGCTTTTGGCGGCGGGATCTAGGTAAGTCAGAGATAGATTAAATTTGTTGGCTCCTAGTCTAAGTCTGACTTCAGCACTCCTGTTCTGCAGAGAGGATCTGTCTCAGAAAATGCATTACTCTCACTCAGGATATCCAAAATCTGATGGGCAAAACAGATTGCTGGAAAATATAGGTTCATGCTGCTTTGGAAAGAATAAAGTTTATAATTCGGGCCACAGCTTCCTAGAAAGTTCTTTACTTACGAAAATGAAAAGGTGGACTTCCAAATAAGGTGGACACAAAAGATATCAGTTAACTGGCTTCTTCATTTACTTGGGATTCTGGTATCTCTAGATGTTTCCTTATGCTCTCACTGAAGAGTTAGATACCTCAGATGTCTTCTTGATGTAACTATTTAGTTAATGGATAGTACTTGGATTATGAGTTTGACCTTTGGGTGAACTACATATGCAGCAGGTGAATGTCCTGTCAGTTCTTATTGCCTACCTTGCCTATTCCTTCTTAAAGCATGTAAAATGGTAGGCAAAGCATTTGCAGTACTCAGTCTGGCATATAAATAGATACTGTCTCTAAATCTATGGCTGTAATTTTCTGGCACATTCAGTTATTTCTGCAAAGTGGAAGAAGCATAGACATAAAATCAGAATAATTTAGGTTGGAAAGGTGCTCTGGAAGCAACTCTACCCAATCCCCCCCACCAAAAAAAAAACAAACAAAAACGAATAGTGGGGGGATAATAATGAAGCTTGCTGCAACTTACCTGTTCATTGCCCAAGATGAGGCCTGTGTTTCAGCAGACTGGAAATGTATTTTGTGCCAAACAATCACTTACAACGCTGAAGTAGCCAGAAGACTCTATTTTCCTGCCTTTTAGACTTCTGCACCAAAGCGTCCAAAGAAAGTATAAGAATTAGCTATCCTACCCAAGAATTGCTACTGATTTTATAATAGAAATGCTTATGGAAGCTGGGAGTTGTTCATGACCTCTCTTCTTTTTTACACTATGTAAAGATAAAAAACTCAAAGATAAAAAAAAGGCTTCCTTATGAACAATTAATTTTAGGCCAGCGTATTCAATTTAAATTTCTTGACACATTCCTGACAAATTCATAAGCCTCTTGAAGTCAGAGAGGGAATTTATAAAAGCCTCTGTCCACCCCAGTGTAGTTTTAGCTTTGCATATAAAATATGATCCAAGAATAAAAAAAGAAAAGCCAGGCAAGGTATATGTTCTATTTTTATTGCTCTTTATCAAGGAATAGATGCAAGAAAGGCTATAAGTAGCTTTAGTGAAACAAGTTTAGCAAGGATTTTAAAATATTTCTTGCTGAATATGAAAGCTCAGCATCTCTGTACTCTTTATACAGAACTTTAGGAAGCTCTGGATTTCCGCCAACTACAGGGAAATTTTATTAAAGTACTAAATGAAGTACTAGAGAGTCAAAAAAAAAAAAAAAGATAGTCCTGTGCTACTCAGTAAGAAAAAAAATCCAGACAGTAAGAAAAAAAAATCCACATGCTGGTTATGTATTCATACAGGGAATTCTGGGAACCACATGTAGATAATAACAGTGCACTATACATTATGTAAATGTACATTATAAATTATAACAGTTTAGTCATTAACTTTTTAGAAAGACATCTTATGGATTAGTTATGGGCTATTTTGCTTACAAGTTTGCAAATACTTCTTCATTGACCTCTGTGCTCTGGAGTACCTCATTACTAGAGTTTTGCTTCAGCACTAACACGGATGAGTGTTCCTCCAGCTAGACGTCTACCTTTTTCTCTTTCCCAAGGCACAAGGTTATATCAGTGGGAACTTTAATCCATTGACCTATTTCAGGCTGGAACATTATCTGTTTTAGGCTTATGTTGAAAATATTTTGTAATTGATGGTATTCATAAGCATAAAGTAAATCAAATCATAAAAGTGCTCAGAATTTGGCCATTCTAATCTAAGCTATTGATACTGGTGTCCTTCAGCGTAATCTGACAATCACTCTAAATTAGAGTTCTCTACTTTCCCTGATAACAGAAAGCTTAAATTATTCTTTTAATTCAGATAGGAGTGGGAGTGTTAGCGTAGGTGGATATTACTTGAAGTGAAACACCAGCAGCAACATTACCTATGTTATTTTTCTTAAATGTTGTTGTGAACATAAACTGTCCTTAACTTTAGGAAGTACCAACAAGTATGAAACTATAAAAGGCATAACATAATCTTCTGCAGTATAAATTGTATGTATCTTTGCCCAGAAAAATTCTGCTATTTGAACCTATCCAAATAGGCAATTCTTGCCATTACATTTCAACTATTTTAGTAATATATTGCATCTTTTAGAACATTAGTAAATATTTATTGCTTCAGCCAACCCATTGAATTCTAAAAATGAAAATTTGAAAGGGTAGAAAGAAGTCCTTCTTATACCAGGCAACACAGACTATTTTAAGTTTGCTTTTAGTTTCAGTTACTATTTTCTGTTTGATTACAAACAAACATGAAATAGAACATATGTGTTTCCCGTGCCTATGGATATTTTCTTTAGGGAAGTGCATATATTGTGTAATGACTTTAACAAAAGAGGAAAAAATAAACTTCTTTGGGGTTGGTTAGTTGGTTGTTTTTTTCTAAAACATACAGCTGTTGAACTTTTTTTTGGAGGTCATTAGCCCTCATAGTTCCTCCCTTCTTTCTTGCCCCAGACTCCTGCCTAATTAAGATAGCTTCGTCAAACTGATTTTCTTTAGTCGTCATCTACAGGAGAAAAAGAAAAAGATAAATCTGAAATAGCCTTCCAGGGCTAGGTGGAAGGAAAAATACCTAACAATAAGTATATTTCTTTCACAGTTAAACTGCACAGTAGCTTTCCCTGCTCATTATTGCACCTTGAAAAAAATCATTGAGTCAAAACTCTCAAGCGAAAGACACATAGCTTTTCATTATTGCTCCATCAAAAGAGCCCTTCTACATAATGCTTGGTAAAGTAGATCAAACAGTGTCAAAACTGTGGCAGATTTACAATTCTCCACAAAGTACTATATAAAAGAGTATGAATATAAAAGAGTATAAAAGAGTACCTGTATGTTGCCAAACTTGACAGATACATGTTTCAGATGTTCTCGTGGCAGCACCCTTTGGCACACCTTTTGGGACTCATAGCCTCAGGAGGGTTTACTGAGTAGTGGAAATGCACCATGAATGCCTCTCCATATGTTCTTGAATGCATCATCAAAAGGAGCCAAAATGGCCAGCCTTGTGGCCCTTTAGTACCAGATAGTACAGAAAAGATCCAAAACTATTGAAAAGAACCAAACGGGAGATAACCAGTACCCTTCCCAAAGCTCTTCTGGGAATCATACAGATCCTGACTGACCGTCTTCTGTAAGTCTTCCTTAACTACAAAATTGGATGCAATGAAATCAGTCAGAAATGAGAGGCTAAAAAGAGTAGGTTATCGCACCTGAGGGAGAGGAATATTGGCTTTAGTAGTTCTTGAGTTATATAGGTCTAGTCATTGTGACTCTCTCAAGCACTTTATGGAAGAAAAAAATCTAGGAAATAAATGTGAAAAGCTTTTGAAATATGAAACTTTTTTTTGTTTGTTTGGTTTGGTTTTTTTTGTGAAGTAGCGGTCAGTAACTGTTATTTTGGAAGCTTTTGCTGCCAGATTTCACTTGCTACCTTTCATGCCCCCTTAGCTAAAGAGAAAAATACTGTCCTTGTTGGGCTGCACTGGTGTGAGACTTAATAAGCAAAGTTTCAAAAGTTTCAGATATAGCAGAATATTTACCCTGTTGTTGGTTTTGGTTTCATCTTTATAAGATCTAAGCTTCCAAAGCATTGCAAAGTTCATCTGTCATGGATATTAGAGATCACTGTAAGTTTTGTTTCCTCTGTGGTAAGAACTGGAAATCTCTCAACTTGCTGCCTCAGCTGTCTTGAGTGAGTGGCAGAAAATGGAATTGTATGCCTCGGTATGGAATAGCAGAACTAAACAAGAAGGAAAAAAAAAGACAAAGTGGGACTGGAGATACCATATCTTCTTTTCTCTGTTGGTCAGTACCTCATTTCTGCTACTTTAGCTGTGAAGGATGAAGAACCGCTTGATCTTTGTGTCTCTCCTACTTTTAAGCTTTCTATGGCTAATTAATTGACATAATCCTGTCCTACGTATTGTCTTCTTAGACCAGAACATCGTAAGAGACAGCAGTTTTGCTCCAGCTGACTGATCTCATATCTGGGATTGAGAAGGAAATTTTTCTTTCGTGAAAAAGTGTCATGAAATTTTGCCAGCATTTTTATCTTAGCATCTAGGTCATGGTGGTACTGCTGGGTTAATGGTAATATGATTTCCAGGATTTTATACTGAGAAGCTAAAACTTTTGGCACATCACAGAGAGCTGTTATAAAGCTAGAAGATCAGTTCCCAGAAGCAGATAAAACCTGAGACTATGCCAGTGGAATCTAAGCTTCCTGAAGCAGAAGTTGTCTGAAACTTCTCTGAGTAGAAGCTCTCACACATAACACTTCTTTTTTTTCTCTCAATGAAACCTACTTTAGTAAGGTGCTAGATAAACCAAATAATTAAGTACACATATGCCACACTGGAAGATTTGACTGCTGCTTTGGGTGTTCATGGAGACAAAGCTGGTAAGCCTGAAGAGATTTAGCTCAAAGATATTATAGAAGAGTTTACTGGAAGCTGCAGATTATTGGTAAGAGTCTTCTGACTTGCCTTGGAATCCTTTTTATTCAACAATATTGGCATTTCCTTGTCTTGTAAGGAAAAGCAGAGAAAATTCTTCTTTCATTGAAAAGGTAAAAGATTAACTATGATCAGGAGTTGATGTAGAATGTTAGTTTTAAGGATTAAGTAACTGCCTCTTGGTTGAGTAATAAAGGAGAAACATGGTATCATGAAACATGGTATCATGAAACACGGTCAAACCATCAATCTGAAGGATACGGGTTTAAAATAGATGCAGCCAACCATTATGGGACCCAAATTCCATGCAGTGTGCTGTTAGAATTAACTGTGAAGGAGTAAAAACTGTGATCTGAACTAAAAAATAAATATCTTGTTTTTTTTTCATAGGAGAATTCGGTTTAACTTGGCATCTCTGAAAACAAGATTTCTATTAGAAGTACTGATGCAAACTTAGCTTTAAGAAGAGTGGGTAGCTGTGCTATGTTGAACATGCTTATGTTGTGCATTGCATGTACAGCTAAATACTGATATTATTAGATTGAATTAAAGAGATAATTAGAAAAAAAGTTTCCTTTAATAGACATAGAGTAGCCTCTAGTGACATCAAACTTTTCTGTAATTTTATTATGCAGATACAGTATTATAGTATTTGCAAATGAGCTAATAATAGTGCTTCCATGATTTATTTTGGATAAATCCACATATATCTCAAAAACACTCTCAGAAAAGCATCATTACTACTTTATTAAATACTACTTTTGCCTACTTGAGCTTAACAAACAAATCTAATGGTATGAAAGAATTTAATTTCAGAGCTGAATGATAATTTGTCAGGCATGGTTAATTCACATAATTCAAAGTTAATTATGTTTGCGATATTAGAGAGTGCTGTAATTTTGTTCTGTTCAGCTGCAGCTTTTATTAAATCTTACATTTTGATTAGGCAAGCCAGGCTTTAAGAGAGTACAGCAAATTAAAAAAAATGGCAAGGTGTGGGGAAGGGTTTGCAAGCATGTACTTTTGCTCATGTTCACATGCACTGTTGTTTTACATGACTTTGTCAATCCCAAGCTGACTTAGGTACAGTGAAATCTTTCCTAACAGTATGTCCTAAATAGGATTTATTTCTGTTTTTCTGCATTTGGGAATGTTACAACAGATGTTCCCAAGCCACTTGATAACTTGATGTGCTGATGTACAGTTGATTCTTCAAATGTACTTCTTGGACTAAGTAGCAGTTCTCCAGCTATATTCTTCTGTGAAAGAAAAGGTTTCCACAGAGTGGAGATTTCCAAAATCTGTTAAAAATGTCAGAGACTTCCTGACACTGGGTCAATGTTAAAAATACATACAATATTCTGTATAAGCTGTAATTCCAGAAAAAGAAAGGCAGGTGCGTGTGTGAAGTTGTTAGGCCTTTTTGCACAGCTGGAGAACGGGTGGGAACTGTACAGTTTTGAAGGCATTTACCTCGGTTCAAGTACCCTACTGACTTGCCTTCCTGTACAATCTTGGTTACATTCTTTTAGTTTTGTCATGTCATTCCTTATTAGTCTTTCTTTTGATATATGCTTTTGTACCTAATGGGAGAAAATGGGAGTAAAATGGGAGTCATATCTGATTCTGACTTACAGGAGTGCTATGACACTAAATACAGCAAAGTGTTAATGTTCTCCAGACATGCAGCAATTTTAGTATTGGAGATAGCTATTACATCAGGGTGTAGAAAAGCTGTGCTTAGACTAACACTGTACTGGAGGTAGTATAAGTTTCTGACTATTTTCATTGTGGGTACTCACACAGTCCCCCCAAATTGTTCTCAGGGCTGATTCACTGACAGTGGATCTACAGATGCATGAATAAAGCATTAGGCATCTTCTCCAGGACAAACTTCTCTCCTTCTCGAAGCAGCTTTGAATTTCCCAGAATCTCAGAATGGTTGGAGTTGGCAGGGACTTCTGGAAGTCAGGTGGTCCAATCCCCCCAACTTAAGCAGGGCCAGCTATAGCAGGTTGCTCAGGACCCTGTCCAGTCAGATTTTGAATATCTCCAAGGATGGAAACTCCATAACTGCTCTGGGCAATCTGTTCCAGTGTTCAGCTACCCTCACAGTGAAAAAGTGTTTTTTTTTTAATGTTCAGATCTGATTTCCTGTGTTTCAGTTGTGCCTATTGTCTCCCATCCTTTCGCTGGGCATTGCTGAGAAGAGAATGACTGTGTCATCTTGACATCCTCCCTTCAGATATTTATTCAAATTTATAACATCCCCCTGAAAGTCATTTTCTTTCCTTGTGCCAAATTTAACAATACAGAATCTTGTTCTCTTCCGTCATATCTTCTTTCTCAAAGCAAATTTTTCTTTGACAAAGCAAATGTAATATTTGATTATACTTAGGAAGAACTTTGACAAAAAGAAGAGAACCTTCTGAAGAATGGTGAGATCATTTATGTTTAATTACTGTACAGCATCAGGCTATGGGTAGGCTCTGAATGGATTTATCGTTAGAAGCCATGACGCTTCAGCTGCACCCAGAATATTAATAAAGTCAAGGATATTCTTAAAGGGGAAAGATGACTTCTTTGTATATCTGACATGTCACTGATAATGACAGAAGTAAAATGTTGATTAACTGAACACTCATGGTACACCAAATATTTATTCACAGAAGTAGGAACTGTTCATTTTCTTAGACAATATAGGCATGCACACACATATACCATTTTACTGGAAACTAGACTATCACTAGCCTAAAGGGACAGTTTGTTTAAAGCGGGTAATATTGTCTTCTCATTTAATGTCTCCTTGAGAACGATGTTGTGGACCAAATCTCTCTAGCAGTTGGGAGCTCACCTGTGAGCTTGCTTACACACACTACCCTAGTTTACACTTATACCCCGTGGCCATCTGTTTGGTGTGTCTGACTTCAAATTTTGTATGAATTCTGCCAGTTGAAATTCTGCTTTTTTTTTTTTTTTTTTCTGTGCTCCAGCCCTCAAGGAGCTCTAGTTTATCATCTATCAACATGCAATAGTAGAAACAAATGAGAACAGACTTTGCAAAATAATTTCCAAAGCGAATTATTTTTCACATTAGGCAGTGTAAGAAAAATACAGATCTAAGTAAAAAATAGGAAATGTTAGATGATCTCCCACTGCAATTTTCTGACTATTGTTCTCTTTAAGATTCAGTCAAGATACTACAGAACCCAGGACCTCGGACTGGAGTGGCTCTGTGGGTCACTGAATACAGTTTTCTGATGTTGCAAGCAAGTCACGTCCTGGTTTAAAATCACTCAAAGGCCATCCTGAAATCTACTAATCTACATTCTGGAACATGATTCCTTTCACGCCTATAAGTGTCCTAAACTGAGGATTAAATTTATGCTAGAGAACTTCCTATATATGTATTTTTTTTTTTTTACATAATGTGTCCTTTATCTTAAATAGTTCTTTTTGTCACCTGGTATATATATTCATCTCATTGTACAAATAGACAACTAATATATATTTCCATTCAAACTATGTTACGCTGTAGGTTCTACTCCTGTTTACTTTTAGAAAGTGGTATCTTTTAGCTCTTAGATGATCTTGATTCCTAAAGGTGTCCTTTACCTCACTATTTTCCTGAGTCATATAGTATTTGCATGGCCATGTTAGTACATCAGTCCCTTTATCATCCCCCAGGACATGTACTTATTTTTGTCTTCAAAGATCTGAGAAAAGCTCCCCCCTGGCAAGGTTCAGTCATTCTACTGTTTTGTTCAGGTATCATTTTGTTATTTTGCTGGTGGCTCTTAGACTCCTCTATCATAGCTTCCCTTCTCCTAAACGCAAGAAGTAGGTACAAATGCACCAGAAACAATCATAAGATGTCAAATAGGCAAAACAATTCCAGATAGCAAATAAAAAACGTTATATTCAGCTCTCAGTAGCTTCTCTGAATTTTCTAAAGGAATATGGCTTTCCTTTTACATTTCATTCACTATGCAGAAGGATTTTCGTAATGTATTTCATGTTTAATTATGCTAATGTATCTTGGAACTCCCTTGTCTTGATTCTTAAAACTTTAGCCTGAAAACAGTTGGGTAGATTTAGGCATACATAGTAACTATGTGACAGTTAACAGCCTGTACATTTCAAATGTTAGGAAAGATGTCAACCTTTTAGCCTAGGTTCTTACTATTCTGAAAAAAGGGAGTAGCAGAAGTTACTGAAAGCAAGTTAAATTTAGAGTTTTTTGTTTGTTTGTTTGTGTTTTAATCAGTAACTTGGAAGCTAAAAACCCATTATTTAAGGGTCTCCTTTATTTTTAAGATTTCTTCCTGTTCCTTTAATAAAGGAGTTATTTGCTCAATAAGTACTGAAGTACTTGTCTAGTACTTGTCTAGTGTGAAGAATAAATGATATGAGTAAATCTAATTACTATTAATTACAGCCCTATCCTCCCACACTGTACATTCCCAGTGAGTTCAGACTGAAATAGCAATGTCAATAACAAGTATTAGATTCATATTCTACTTTCTTTTTTCGTTATGTGATAGCTTGACTTGGAGGTGCTTTTGAATTTCTCATGCACTATACTAATACTAATGTACGACGAGTTGAGGTGATAGTCATTTTTGTGCTTGAAGTCCCACTGCAGGAAGGGCTGTGAATCCTCATTGAGAAAATACGTTTTTTTTATAGTGACTAGATGTCCCAACTAGAATAAAACTTCTTTCATACTAGGGAAAAAACTATATACAGAAGGTAGGCCTAATGAAAGTGCCAATCTAAACGGACAACAGCTAAGAAAAAGGAAACATGATTATTTCCCATTTAACAGATGGGTTCTGAAGCTCAGTGAAATGGTGGGCCAAATTTTTAAGTGTTTAGCTACCTAAAGATGCATATAGTGCCTTTGGGTTTTCAGAAGCACCTGTCTGTGCATTAATATGGCTGCATGTTAACTGGCTTTAAAAATCTGGCTTGGAATTGCTTGTCCAAGTTATTTAGGAAATCTGCAGT